CTGCATGAAACCCAGGGCCCTGGTGGGGTAGGCACCAGAGGGAATCTCCTGGTCTGCGGGCTGCGAAGACCATGGGAAATGCACAGTATCTGGGCCAGAGTGCATGGTTCCTCAGGCTCAGTCCCCCACAGCTTCCCCTGGGTAGAGGAGAAAATTCCCCAACCTCTTGCACTTCCCGGGTGAGGCAATGCCCCACCCTGCTTCTGCTCGCCCTCTGTGGGCCACACCCACTGTCCAAGCAGTCCCAATGAGATGAACTGGGTACCTCAGTTGGAAATGCAGAAATCACCTGCTTTCTGTGTCAATCTCACTGGGAACTGCAGACCAGAGCAGTTCCTATTCAACTGTCTTGCCACCAAGCTCCTATTTTTGCTTTGTCCTTTCAGTTTGAGTCATTTCTATTGATCTACCTTCAAGGTTTTTGATTCTTCCCTCAGCTGTGCCCACTCTACTGATAAACCTATTGTGAAAAAATCTTTTCTTTTTCATTTGTTGCATTTCCATTTAATCCTTTCTCATATGTTCTACATCTCTACTAAAATTAAGCATCAGTTTTAGCATGTTATCCACCTCGGCTATTAAAATCTTTAATATATTGTAGTTAAACTTTCTTGGATGCTAGCTTCAATATCTGTTTCATATTTGAGTCTAGATGTGCTAACTGCTTTGTGTTTTTCTTAATATATTGATATGCCCCATAACTTTTTAAAGGAAAGATGGACATCTTGTATAAGACAGTATAGACGAAGGTTTTTACGCTTGATAATAAGAATTTATTTCTTCTAGGTGTTGGATATGGAAAGGTAAAGGTCATCTAGTTAAGATTTCAGTTGGGTTTGGGATTTGTTGCTGCTATGCTTACCGTTAGTAAACCAAGGATTTTAAATTACCCTAGTGTTGACTTTGTGTTTAGGATGAGACATGGTTTGCAAGGTGGATGTTGTCAGTGTCTGCTCCACCCTCAGGTTAGGTCTCCCCTTTGCACTGCACCTCAGTGGTGGTCTAGTAATGTGTTTGCTCCTTTTCTGGCAAGAAAATGCTATGGATTTGTTATAGAAAAATCTTTGTTTTTCTGATTAAGCTTTGATGTTAGGCAGCCACTGTGTTTATGGTTCTCCGAGGTGGGGCTTTCTCCGTGATCCTGCCCCAGACCTCCACCTGTAATTAGGTCTGTGATCACTGGGTATATCTGTCCCTACCCTCCAGGGTTGGAGGGCTTTCCGTGTCCTGCCCCAAGCTTCATTGGGTTTCTACCAGCAGCTTCATGTCAACAGACTTTGTTGTTCTTTACAGTGAAGAAAAGTCCAAGTAGGATTTCATGCCTTTTCTGCAGCAGCTGCTATCCTTCAACCCCAAGTTTATGCAATAGAGATGGCTTTTGTAGAAATCTTACCAATTATTTTTGTGACAACTTGGTGAGGTCCATGGAGAAAACTCTAAGATTGGGTGCTATTTCTCCTTATGTCTATATTCCAGAGAGGCTGCATATTCTCTTGGCAGACAACACTTGCTTTTAGCAATTCATTAAAAATATTAGCTGAATTCCTTTTTTTTTTTTTTTTTTTTTTTGAGATAGGGTCTTGCTTTGTCACCCAGGCAGTGACACAATCATGGTTCACTGTAGCCTCAACCTCCTGGGTTCAAGCAATACTCTTGCCTCAGCCTCCCAAGTAGCAAGGACCACAGGCATGTGCCACCACATCTGGCTAATTTTTGTCTATTTTTTTTTTTTTTTTTAGAGAGAGGGGACTCATTATGTTGCCTAGGCTGGTCTCAAACTCCTGGGATGAAATGACTCTCCCACCTCAGCCTCTCAAAGCATTGGGATTATAGGCATAAGCCACTGTCCTCAACCTGAATTCTTTTCACCTATGTGTGGCAGTGTCTTCCTCAGATGAGTAAATGCTTATGTCCTGTCTCTTTATCCTTAGGTTTTGGATTAGTTTGTTACTCGGCAACATCAACTCTATGGTTGTGTTCAAGAAAAGTTGTGAATTTGGAGATATCGAATTTTTCTTCTTTCTAGCTTTCTCCATCCTATACAGATGGCCCACAGGCTTTTAAAATCAGAAGTTAGTATTTAGAAATAACTATTTGAAATCTCTCATATTAAAGAAGTTGAGACCTAGAGAGATCACACCCCTAACTCAACTATCACTGAGTTGTTCAACATAACAGGTGCATGTTAGAAGGGCAGAAAATTGGAAACAACCTAAATCACCCCTAGGATGTGGTTAAATAAATGACAATATGTCCACGTAAGTGAATGTTATTGAGCCTTTCATGATTTTATAGATAACTTTATTGACACTGGAAAATGTGTATTTTGGCCGGGTGTGGTGGCTCTCGCCTGTTATCCCAGCACTTTGGGAGCCCGAGGCAGGTGGATCACAAGGTCAGGAGTTCAAGACCAGCCTGGCCAACATGGCGAAACATCATCTCTACTAAAAATACAAAAACTAGCCAGGTGTGGTGGCACGTGCTTGTAGTCCCAGCTACTCTGGAGGCTGAGGCAGGAGAGTCACTTGAATCCGGGAGATGGAGGTTGCTGTGAGCTGAGATCGAGCCACTGCACTCCAGACTGGGCAAGAGTGAGAATTCATCTCAAAAAAAAAATAAGTAAAAAAATGTTTATTTCATGAAGAAAATGTAAACAGGAGATTATAAGATACTAGATACAATATGATTGCTTTTTATTGTAAGAAAAAAGTAATCAATGGCAGCATATGGGGACTTATGGTATCTTGTTTTTATTGGTACAATAATATTTACTGCATTGTAAATCATAATAGATAATTTTATGCATTCTAGGTATAATCTATTGTATTAGTCTGTTCTCACACTGCTAATAATTATAGACATACCTGAGACTGGGTAATTTATAAAGAAAAAGGCATTTAATGGACTCATAGTTCTACATGGCTGGGGAGTTCACACAATCATGGCACAAGGCAGAGGAGGAGAAAGGCATGTCTTACATGGCAGCAGGCAAGAGCGTGTGCAGGGGAACTCCCCTTTATAAAAACCATCAGATCGCGTGAGACTTATTCACTATCATGAGAACAGCATGGGAAAGACCCGCCCTCCCACGAATTGTGGGAGCTACAATATGAGATTTGGGTGGGGACACAGACAAACCATATCATCTATTTACAGCTATATAGAAGTATATGTACCTCTGGGAACAGGAAAAAAACAATAGTATTAAAGTGGTTGAATTTGCAATGTATGTTTCTCTTTAAGTTTCCTATATTGTAAAAATGAACATAATGTTTTGAGGAAAATATTCATTGTGAATATTTAAGTTTTGTCCAGAGGTCCTGAGTTGGATATGTGAGGTAAGATGCTCGTGAACACTGCAGATAAACTGATGCACACACAGTCACAGCAGCTGATTCTGACTTAGGAACATTTCACTCTCCTTTTCCTTGGTTCATTTTGGTGGTTAAGATCTCTTCCAGAAGTAACATACATCAAGAAAGAAGAGATTATACATGTCTAGCAAGGCCTGTCAGAAATATATTTGGTGCCCTTGATAATTTCTCAAACAAGACAGAGAACACCAAGGTACAACCACATAGGGCATCAGAGCTGGTACGGCAAAGGGGAAGGAGAGATTCCTACTTCTGTTGATGACACTGGAACCTTGCAAGCTGGACATCTTGGAACAATAGACACAGCTGCTCGACCTCAAAGGTGGAGCAAACACTTCTGCATGTTGCAAAGGCTAGTTATTGCCTAGTTGGTAGGCAAAAAAATTTAAATATTTGGCATAAAAGTATAAAATGAATTGAGTCAAGAATTTGACATTTATTCAATTAACAAGTTGGGGTTGGAAGCTAAATTTAAATCTTACACAAAATGAAACTTCCAATTAAAATGTCAAAAGATTGACATCACAGACTGAAAGAACCAGGAACACTGGAAGCAGGGACCTTTGTTGTTTTTATTCAATAGGAAGGAACATTTCTTTCTTCTCCATATAAACTGGATGTTCTTTGTTGAGCATTGTCACTGCTAAAGTGCTTTTTCATTGTTACACTGCATCAATCGTTTCCCTGTGGCAGGGTACTAATTTATCAGTTGAAAAGCTACTAGGCAATGACTACAAACATTACAGGAAGCAGGTCAATATGATTATCGTCAGTCACTCTGTCACCGAGAAACCTAAAATACAAAGAAAATTATGTAGCCTCAAGTCCCCAGGAAGCCAGTGTCTGCATTTATTGCCTAGATTTAGCTATTTTATTTTCTCAGTCCTTCAGACAACCTTAACGTATAAAAAAAATTGCCTAGGGATGAGATCTTAGTGATTGTCTACACAGAATGTATGTGTGTGTGTGGTTATTTCCAATAAACATTGAGTTCTAGTTTCTCTTTCACGGTCAAGGCTGTGATGCTAAAAAGCTGCAAGAAGTTTTTCCCTGGCTCAGTTATGCTTTTACAAATTTTGCAAAATGGTTCTCTGCTAAATTAGAATAGACAGCTCAAGCCACGCCAGAATCATAAAGCATGTGCATTATTATTCTTAGGTTAGAAATATTTGGGGTGGAGGGTAGATGGTAGCATGGCAGCAAAATATTCTCTAACTCACCAAGATGGTGAATGTAAAAAAGAATGTCAGCAATAATCAATACCATTCTTCACAAAAATAGTAGGCAGAGATCCCGCAGCTTTCATACCCAGTTCATACTAATATCTACAGGTGTGTATTAGTTTGTTCTGGTTCTGAATGTCATAAACATCTCAGGACTAGGTAAAGAATCAAGAAATTGATGGAAATATATGTGAAGCAAAAGAGAGAAAATACTTCCCTCAAGTCTTAATTGCTGAGAAGAGAGAAATCCTGTGTGGATTTTATTTTAATTGAATTAGAATTCAAAGAACAAGGGAGGGAAGGAAAGAGGTGGAAAGGATGCTTAATCATCATGTCAGAAAAGAAATTCTTTCTAATAAATGTGAAATAGGACAATGATGTCATTGCTGTCCATTCATTCTATCTCCCAGCATTTTCCCTGTCTTTTTGGGTCTCAAGAATTTGGGCTGGGTTGACTAAGAATTCACCATTCAGCAAAGTGGGTAGTGAAAGAAAAAGGTGAACGGAGATGGAAAAAGAAAAGGGAAAGGAAAAAAGTAGAAGAAAAGATGATCAAAGAGCAGGATGAGCAGAGAGAGATGGGCAAAAGAGTCAGTCTCTTCACTGGAGAAAGGAAATAGTATCCTTTATTTCTTTTGGGTCTCCTAAAGAGAGAGAAAATGTGTTGTGTGTGTATTTATATATATTCCAGCAGATGTGAATAAGCCTCCAGCTGTCTATAAGTAATTTCGTCCTTCAATTCCTTAATTTTGGCAAAGTTTGAGGCTTTTTAGGGAGTCAATTTTGAAGACCATGTATGTGCAAAGGATAAGTGACTGTCTGTGAAAATCATTATCTTTATTTTTAAAGAGGCATTTGGGTAAAGGAAGTCAAACTCCTAATTCCCAGCCATTGGTCATGCATCTGAAAGCACACACACACAAAAAAAGGGAAATTCATGCAGTTGTATGCAATTATGGAAAGTGCAGAAAAACCATCTGTTCTTGGAAATAAAATCTTCCTCAATCCCCTGGATGTCAGAAGCCCAAGTGAATGTGGGGGAAGTGACTGTTAAAACTAATTTTGTATGTGAAAAGTATGTATGCTTTATCCAAACGGAACTGCACACCCCTGGAAGGTTCTATTAAATTTTTTCCAGTGAATTGACAAATGTTTTTTACAAAACTATCTCCAGTATTGTTCTTGAAGCATGACTAGTCTCCAGATTCACCGATGGGCCATGTCAATCATCAGTACATGCACATGTTATTTGCAAATGGAATTCAGGTCAAGAGCAAGACACTGTAAGCTTAAAAGGAAAGTTTTTGAAATGCAATGTTATTTATCTGTTTTAACCTGTAAAAAGCAGATCAAGCATCCAGTGAGTTAACAAATCTGACACTGACAGATGCAATGGGTTGAGGATGGGTGTGGACAGAAAGGCTCCTCCCACCTCTACATTACCCCAGGAGTCTTCACTTTCACAACCTTCATTACACTACTTTTGGGAAGCACTGCCTAAGTTATCTCACTGGAGCCTCCAATTATTTCTACAACTTAGTACACAGTTGCTTAGCACTTCTATACTTGATTTATATGTGATTAATTTCAAAGTATGTACATGTTACTTGTAAATCTTTGAGGGCGCTTTTCTGAGTTTCCTGCTGCTCTGCCTAAAATGCAAATTGTTTATAACCTTCCACGTGACTGTTTTCCCACCTGCCAGTATCGACCTGGCTTTACTAGAAAATTTATTATCTTACAAAAGCTTTTCCCTAAGGTGGAATAAAAACTCCACAGGGGGCGATATAGTGGGGGTGAGAGGTCTCTCTCAGCTGAAATAGCTTCCCACCTCTCCTCTCTTCATTCTCCTTTTTACTTACATTCCTTTCACAGAAGAAATCGTTCTTTTTTGAGAGGGAGCAAGGACAGGGCTTGATATTTTACTTAAGAAAAAAAACTTAAATGATCAAGGTTTGAACTGTGATTATCATTATGCAGCCATATTTCTAGAACAAGCTGCTTTTACCATCTTGAGATTTCAATGACCTTTTGAAAGAAAGCATCTTCTCCAGTACAAGTTGTAACTTTTATTTATGGGAAATTTAAAAAAGACTGTCACATCCTTAGTCTGATAAATAGGTTGTGTGTGGCTTTAAAGGAAATGAGAAAAAGCCTGCCAGCAACCAGTGGGATGTAAAACATAGACTGTGAAAAAAAGCATGTCTCAAACCTTCACAATGGTAAACACTTGGAAACCAATGAACAGCCCTTAGATTCTATTCTGACTGATAGGTGTGATTAAGGAAAAGACGAAAGCTGATGCTATTCTAAAATACAGTTGTAGTAAATTCTTGTAATTTTATGTTGTCTTGGCATCCCTTTTAAATGTAGGTTTCACTTTCTCATACCAAAAGCAGCGCTCAGTCACCCTTGATGCAATGTCCGGTGCTATACCACACCCAAATGGCTCAAGCTGGTGGCCAGAGATAAGAACTCAGAAGCATCTCTGCCACCTGCCTGACTGGATTCCTCGTGTTCCCAGCGTGCCCTTTAAGTGGGCCATCAGGCGTTTACCTGGGAATTTAAAGTGACACACACCCTGTTCCCTTGTACAAACTACTAGCTGCCATGCATTCTCCATCTCTGCCTGACTTTTCAATCCTTCCTTGCATAACCCAGGGATGAAGCACTTCTCCGCATCGCACCCTGACTCATTATGCTGTCCTTGCCCAGGATCTGTAAGTAAAAGTCTTTGAACTTGCTTCCTGTTGTGGTGGTATATTGAATTTGCACCATCTGAAGAACCAGGGGCTGTCCCAGGCTGGGTTTTCCCTGGGAAACTGGGGAGAATACAAGGTTGGGCTCCCAGTGCCACAGCAATGGTCAGGGAGGCATAAACTGGACATGGGTCAGACAAGAGCCACAAGGGCATCTGCCAGCATAAACAAGCTGCCTGTATGAGAGACCCTCCTGGTCACAGGTGGGACAACTGGGCACTAGGCTGTCCTCCAGTCAAAAGAAGCATCCCATAAGAGGCACAGAGAAAACATCCACGTTCAGCTCCCCTTCATTTCCTGTTAAGACAGGGTGGCTAGCCACTCTGGTGCTGAAACCCCAAGTTAGCTGGGCCCTCTCAAAACAACACTTGCCTCTATTTACCCATGTTCATGCACATGTGTGTGTGTGTGTACACACACCCTGATGGAAGCCACTGCATACCACTAGACTTTTCTCTTTGGCACAGATGCATCGTTCAACTCCCAAGCCCGAAACAAATCCCAAGATTATTAAAAGTGAATATGTCAGGGAAGACACTGATTTTATTCAGCAAGTGATTTTCCACCTCTTTACTCATTATGCTCTCCTTGCATACCACTGATAGTTATGGAACTTTTTTCTAAGTAATTCACATATGTGACATCTCCTACATTTTACTTGAAGTTATTGACCAAATAGATGCTGACTGATAACATAGTTTTTCAGGAAGGAAGTTAACTTGGGGAAAATGGAGAAATTAATCCTTCTTTAAAATTCACAGACTAGTGATATATCTTATGAGCCACTGTAGTTAGTGGTATGATATGCTTGAATGTTCACTGAGTTGAGTTGTACATGTAATTCTGTTACTGACAAAATGAAAGGTCCAAAGAATGAAGCCTAATTTGCCTTTATAAATTAGATTTACCATTATTCCTACTATAAAGTCATAGTCACTTGCTTTCTGGTAGCCTTTTGAGAGTGACAGACATAATAATGATAGTAATAATAACAATGATAAATAGTAGCCATGTTGGCTATAACAGGGTCCTGGGTAGACACAGTGACTGATAGCAGCATTCACAGTTAGTTTGTTCTCATGCTGCTAATAAAGACATATCTGAGACTGGGTAATTGATAAAGAAAAAGAGGTTTAATGGACTCACAGTTCCACATGGCTGGGAAGGCCTCACAATCATGGCAGAAGGCAAAGGAGGAGCAAGGGCACATCTTACATGGCAGCAGGCAAGAGAGAGCATGTGCAGGGGAACTGCCCCTTATGAAAGCATCAGATCTCATGAGACTTATTCATTATCATGAGAACAGCATGGGAAAAACCCATCTCCATGATTCAATTACCTCCCACCAGGTCCCTTCCATGACATGAGGGGATTATGGGAGCTACAATTCAAGATGAGATTTGGGTGGGGACACAGTCAAACCGTATCACTAACATTTATGGAACCTTTAATAACTGCCTGATGAAGTTCCAAGTATTTCACATACGTGATATTGTTAAGTCCTCACAAAAACACTGAGTATCAGGCTTTCATCTCCATGTTACAAAAGAGGCAACCAAGGCACAGAGAGGTACAGAAACTTATCCAAAATCACACATCCAGTAAATATATCCATAGATGTGGATTGCCTATGTGAAAACAATGTGTGTCGTGCATCATGGAACATGTAAAAACAAAATAATTTGGCATACATTAGATACCCTTTTGTGCAGAGATTTAGGTGGACAATTTGCTCATTCACATGTGTTTACATTGCTGCATATAAATGAATGTTTGCTTGAGGAGGAAGTGGTTCCTCACCAGGTTGCACAACCAAATATACTGAGCAAGTATTTTCAAAATGCACATGCTGAGGTGCCACTGCAAACCAATGGAACCAGAATCTCCAGCATTTACAAAAACAAACACCCAGTGAGAATGATGCATCTTGATTAAGAACAGCTGGTCTTTTAGTAATCTTATAGATGTTTGTTTCTCCATGTCATCATAATGGTTAACAATCGCCTTTAAAGAAAGTCTTTGATTGAACACAAATAATACATTAATTGGACTAACAAATCAAACATGCCTGTCTTTATACTACCAGGGTAATATGAAAATGTCACCAGTGAAATTTTTTGTTTTCATTTAAGGAATACTTTTTTGATTATTTAGTCTGGTAACTATCAGCATATCAAAGAAGATGTGAAAAGAAGCACTTTGAAGCTACAAGAACTCCACTGCAGCCTAGGCAGAGGTGAGATGACAAAAATGTTTGGGTAAAATAGTTTTGGCAATGAGAGCTTTTCTGAAGTCCAAGTTTATAGTAATAAGAATATATATAATTCCTTATTAAACAACACAAATTTAAGATTACAGTAATTTGGGGTTACAGAATACATTTCCACTATTTATGATGTGAGAGCCTCTTAAAAGTTTTGGAGCATTCATCTTTAACTCAGTGAAAGGTACCAATATATTTTGAGTACCACTGATGATATGCAAACCAAGCTTGTTAGGAATGAGTTATTGGCTCATTAAAACAACAGTCTGCTGCTAAACATCTGTTTGACAATTGGATGTGAGGCTGCTTTGATGTGGTATATGAAGTATGCATTTTAAAACACTAAAATACCACTCTTTAAAGGTATTCTATATGTCAGACTTCACTCATCCACACAGCTTATCCATAAGATTTTAATGAATGAAGTTTTTTTTTTTTTGTACCACCCCCCATGATTCCATTACTGAATGTTCATAATGAACTTCTGGACCTCTGCTACTTACAAAGACAAAGAAAAGGGAGAAGAGAGAAGGCCCTAATGAATTTATGCCCATAACAGAAGTATAATTAAGAATTTCAAATGACTCCATGGGGCTGGGAGTGCTTTAATTCCCCCATAAACAATGTATATTAATGCTGAAAGGCCTTTCTTAATACACATGAAGGCTACCTTTCTCGGGCAACCATTAGTATCCCCCAAAACATGAAAAAAGGGTATGGCTGGAAAGATGGCTAAATAGGAAGCGCTCCGGTCTGCAGCTCCCAGCAAGATTGACACAGAAGGCAGGTGATTTCTGCATTTCCAACTGAGGTACCAGGTTCATCTCACTGGGAATGGCTTGACAGTGGGTGCAGCCCATGGAGGGTGAGCCGAACCAGGGTGGGGTGTCACCTCACCTGGGAAGTGCAAGGGGTCAGGGAATTTTCTCCCCTACCCAAGGGAAGCCGTGAGGCACTAAGCCTGAGGAACCATGCACCTCAGCCCTGATACTGCACTTTTCTCACAGTCTTCAAAACCCATAGACCAGGAGGTACCCTCCAGTGCCTAACCCACTAGGGCCCTGGGTTTCAAGCACAAAACTGGGTGACCATTCGGGCAGACACTGAACTAGCTGCAGTTTTTTTCCCACACCCCAGTGGCTCCTGGAATGCCAGCGAGACAGAACTGTTCACCCGCCTGGAAAGGAAGCTGAAGCCAAGGAGCCAAGTGGTCTGGTTCAGTGGGTCCCAACCCCATGGAGCCCAGCAAGCTAAGATCTGCTGGCTTGAAATTGTCGCTGCCAGCACAGCAGCAGTCTGAGATCAACCTGGGATGCTCGAGCTTGGCTGGGGGAGGGGAGTCCACCATTGCTGAGGCTTGAGTAGGTAGTTTTACCCTCACAGTGTAAACAAAACCGCCAGGAAATTCGAACTGGGTGGAGCCCACTGCAGCTCAGCTAGGCTGCTATGGCCAGACTGCCTCTCTAGATTTCTCCTGTCTGGGAAGGGCATCTCTGAAAAAAAGACAGCAGCCCCAGTCAGGGATTACTTCTAGATAAAACCCTCATCTCCCTGGGACAGAGCACCTGGGGGAAGGGGCAGCTGTGGGCGCAGCTTCAACAGACTTAAACGCCCCTGCCCAACGGCTCTGAAGAGAGCAGCAGACCTCTCAGCACAGTGTTTGAGCTTTGCTAAGGGTCAGACTGCCTCTTCAAGTTAGTCCCTGACTCTCATGTATCCTGACTGGAAGACAACTCCCAGGTGAAGCCAACAGATACCTCATGCAGGAGAGCTCCAACTGGCATCTGGCACGTGCTCCTCAGATGAAGATTCAAGAAAAAATAACAGGCAGCAATCTTTGCTGTTCTGCAGCCCTGCTAGTGATACCCAGGCAAACAGGGTATGGAGTGGACCTCTAACAAACTCCAGCAGACCCACAGCAGAGGGACCTGTTGGAAGGAAAACTAACAAACAAAAAGGAATAGCACATCTACTCAGCAACTCCATCGGAAGATCACCAACAACAAAGACCAAAGGTAGATAAATCCACGAAGATGGGGAGAAACCAGTGCAAAAAGGCTGAGTATTCCAAAACCCAGAATACCTCTTCTCCAAAGGATCACACGTCCTCAACAGCAAGAGAACAAAACTGGATGGAAAATGAGTTTGATGAATTGACCATAAGTAGGCTTCAGAAGGTGGGTAATAACAAACTCCTCCGAGCTAAAGGAGCTTGTTCTAACCCAATGCAAGGAAGCTAAGAACCTTGAAAAAAGGTTAGACGAATTGCTAACTAGAATATTCAGTTTAGAGAAGAACATAAATGACCTGACGGAGCTGAAAAACACAGCACGAGAACTTTGTGAAGCATACACAAGTATCAATAACCAAATCGATCAAGCTGAAGAAAGGATATCAGAGAGTGAAGATCACCTTAATGAAATAAAGCTAGAAGACAAGATTAGAGAAAAAACAATGAAAAGGAATGAATAAAACCTGCAAGAAATCCAGGACTATGTGAAAAGATCAAATCTATACTTGATTGGCGTACCTGAAAGTGACAGAGAGAATGGAACCAAGCTGGAAAACACTTTTAGGATATTATCCAGGAGAACTTCCCAACCTAGCAAGACAGGCTAACATTCAAATTCAGGAAATACAGAGACCACCACAAAGATACTCCTCAAGCAGAGCAACCCCAAGACACATAATTGTCAGATTCAACAGGGTTGAAACGAGGGAAAAAGTGTTAAGGGCAGCCAGAGAGAAAGGTCGAGTTACCCTCAAAGGGAAGCCCATCAGACTAACAGCAGATCTCTCTGCAGAAACCCTACAAGCCAGAAGAGAGTGGGGCCAGTATTCAACATTCTTAAAAGAATTTTCAACTCAGAATTTCATATCCAGCCAAACTGAGCTTCATAATTGAAGGAGAAATAAAATCCTTTACAGACAAGCAAATGCTGAGAGATTTTGTCACAACCAGGCCTGCCTTACAGGAGCTCTTGAAGGAAGCACTAAACATGGAAAGGAACACCCAGTACCAGTCGGGTGTTTTGCAAAAACATACCAAATTGTAAAGATCATCGACACTAGGAAGAAACTGCATCTACTAATGGGCAAAATAATCAGTTAGCATCATAATGATAGGATCAAATTCACACATAACAATATTAACCTTAAATGTAAACGGGCTAAATGTCCCAATTAAAAGATATAGACTGGAAAATTGGACAAGAGTCAAGACCCATCAGTGTGCTGTATTCAGGAGACCCATTTCACATGGAAAAAAAACACATAGGCTCAAAATAAAGAGATGGAGAAATATTTACCAAGCAAGTGGAAAGCAAAAAACGAGCAGCAGTTGCAATCCTAATCTCTAATAAAACAGACTTTAAATCAACAAAGATCAAAAAAGACAAAGAAGGGCATTACATAGTGGTAAAGGGATCAATGCAACAAGAAGAACCAACCATCATAAATATATATGCACCCAATACAGGAGCACCCAGATTCATAAAGCAAGTTCTTAGAGACCTACAAAGAGACCTAGACTCCCACACAATAATAGTGGGAGACTTTAACACCCCACTGTCAATATTAGACCAATGAGACAGAAAATTAACAAGGATATTCAGGACTTGAACTCAGCTCTGGACCAAGCAGACCTAATAAACATCTAAGAACTCTCCACTCCAAATCAACAGAATATACATGCTTCGCAGCACCTCAATGCACTTATTCTAAAATTGACCACATAAATGGAAGGAAAACACTCCTCAGCAAATGCAAAAGAACAGAAATCATAACAGTCTCTCACACTACAGTACAATCAAATTAGAACTCAGGATTAAGAAATTCACTCAAAACTGCACAACTACATGGAAACTGAACAACCTGCTCCTGAATGACTACTGGGTAAATAACAAAATGAAGGCAGAAATAAAGATGTTCTTTGAAACCAATGAGAACAAAGACACAATGTACCAGAATCTCTGTGACACACTGAAAGCAGTGTGGAAAGGGAAATTGATAGCACTAAATGCTCACAAGAGAAAGCAGGAAAGATCTAAAATCGACACCCTAACATCACAATGAAAAGAACTAGAGAAGCAAGAGCAAACAAATTCAAAAGCTAGCAGAAGACAAGAAATAACTAAGATCAGAGCAGAACTGAAGGAGATAGAGACACAAAAAACCCCTTCAAAAAAATCAATGAATCCAGGAGCTGGATTTTTGAAAAGATCAACAGAATAGATGGACTGCTAGCCAGATTAATAAAGAAGAAAGAGAGAAGAATCAACTAGACACAAGAAAAATGATAAAGGGGATATTACCACAGATCCCACAGAAATACAAACTACCATCAGAGAATACAATACACACCTCTACGCATATAACCAGAAAATCTAGAAGAAATGGATAAATTCCTGGACACATACACCCTCCCAAGTCTGAACCAGGAAGAAGTCAAATCCCTGAATAGACCAATAACAAATTCTGAAATTGAGGCACTAATTAATAGCCTACCAACCAAAAAAAAGTCCAGGACCAGATGGATTCACAGCCAAATTCTACCAGAGGTACAAAGAGGAGATGGTACCATTCCTTCTGAAACTCTTGCAAACAATAGAAAAAGAGGGAATCCTCCGTAACTCATTTTATGAGGCCAGCATCATCCTGATACCAAAACCTGGCAGAGACACAGCAAAAAGAGAAAATTTCAGGCCAATATCCCTGATGAACATGGATGAGAAAATCCTCAATAAAATACTGGCAAACTGAATCTGGCAGCATATCAAAAAGCTTATCCACCACGATCAAGTCAGCTTTGTCCCTGGGATGCACGGCTGGTTCAACATATGCAAATCAATAAACATAATACATCACATAAACAGAACCAATGACAAAAACCACATGATTATCTCAATAGATGCAGAAAAGGCCTTTGACAAAATTCAACACCCCTTCATACTAAAAACTCTCAATAGACTAGGTATCAGTGGAACATATCTCAAAATAATAAGAGCTATTTGTGATAAACCCACAGCCAATATCATCCTGAATGGGCAAAAACTGGAAGCATTCCCTTAAAACCAGCATAAGACAAGGATGCCCTCTCTCACTATTCCTATTCAGTATAGTATTGGAAGTTCTGGCCAGGGCAATCAGGCAAGAGAAAGAAATAAAGCGTATTCAAATAGGAAGAGAGGAAGTCAGATTGTCTCTGTTTGCAGATGACATGATTGTGTATTTAGAAAACACCACTGCCTCAGTGCAAAATCTCCTTAAGCTGATAAGCAACTTCAGCAAAGTCTCAGAATACAAAATCAATGTGCAAATATCACAGGTATTTCTATACACCAATAATGGACAAACAGCCAAATCATGAGTGAACTCCCATTCGCAATTGCTACTAATAGAATAAAATACCTAGGAATAGAACTTACAAGGGATGTGAAGGACTTCTTCAAGAAGAACAACAAACCACTGCTCAAGGAAATAAGAGAGGACACAAACAAAAAACATCCCATACTCATGGATAGGAAGAATCAATATCATGAAAATGGCCATACTGGCCAAAGTAATGTATAGATTCAATGCTATCCCCATCAAGCTACCATTGACTTTCTTCATAGAATTGGAAAAAGCTACTTTAAACTTCATATGGAACCAAAAAAGAGCCCGCATAGCCAAGACAATCCTAAGCAAAAAGAATAAAGCTGAAGGCATCGT